ATCAATCTGGAACTTGGGGGTTAGGGGAGGTGACCAGATACAAGCCTGGAAATCAAAGAAGGCAGTAAGACCAAGTCGTCACTATCACCTCATCCTTACACAATGGGCATGACCAAATGGCAAAACATCTTTTAGAGAACCATTACATAGACTTTTATTTCATTTTACCCACAGGAGGGCTAGCCGAGGCTTCGTGAGGTGGCGGAGGGCTTCTCTCCTCGGGAACTGGAAAGAATGGTGGCCGGAGCAAGCAGAGATGTGCCCATCTCCTGCCCCATCTCCCATATTCTTTTGGTGTGAGGTGATGTGCCTCCCAGGCCTCTGGTGAAGTGCTTCTGCCTTAACCAGGCTCCGTGTGCCCTTGGTAAAGCCACATGGTTCTTTTTGAGTCTCATTTTCTTTCCATGTCCTATGTGGATGGTGAAAGTTGCTTGATTTTGAAGATCAGAGATACTGTGTTCTATGTCAGGAAACTGTACTTCAAGGACATGGTTAGATGCACAATAGAATAGATGGAAGCGATTATTTTCTTACTTATTATCTCTCTCTGGATTATAATGTAATTGAACATAGGGGCATTCACTCCATTCAGTGAGCAGCTACTATATACCAAGCTCTAGATTTATGTTCCATGTTTTTGTTGTTGTTGATTTTCTTTTTGAAATGGGGGTCTGGCTATGTTGCCCAGGCTGGTCTCAAATTCGAGAGCTCAAGCAATCCTCTCACCTATCTCTGATTATAGGAGTAGCTGGGATTTCAGGTGTGCACCACTGAGCCCAGCTGGGCTGTGAATCCTCATACTAGTTCCATGGAGAAAGTTCTATTATTATTATTCCCATTTATGAATGAGAAAGATGGGTCTACCCTCAGGGAGGTGGCTTGCCCAAGGTCACAGGAAGTGGCACATCTGGATCTGACGTCTGATCCCAGGCATTTATATATTATGCAATTCTGACCCTTGGAAGTAACAGAGCAGTGGGTTTTCTGGCATTCCTGGGGGGTAGTGAGACCTAGGAAAGCGGGGAAGTGACAGGGCCAGAAAGGGTCATGGTGAGAAACAGAGGCCTGGCCTTGGTTTAAAGGTCAGAGAGGGCTCTGGGGTGAGGTGGCAGAGTGGAGAGTGACAGTGCAGTTTGGGGGGCTGTGGCTCCGTTTCTCTGACTCATTTGGAGGGAGGAGCTCCATTCTGTGCCACGGGAGATGCTATTTATAACCGGCAGGTTCCAGCAGCCTCCTGAGTACATTGCCCTGCAGCTACCTGGGGCCAGTATCCCTGGGACGCAGAACAAAGGGAAGGCAGTGAGAGCCAGTGAGAGGAAGGTCATGGCTGAGCCTCCTCTTTGCTCTGGACTCTCCAAACAGCACAAAATGCACACTTAAGGTACCCACTGAGTCACTCTGGGGGTGTCTAGCTTGTCATCCACAGAACAGGTGGCACCTAAGAGGCTCCATGAGGGGATGAATGGATGGAAGGAGCTTCAGCCTTTTCTATTCAGTTAGATCAAATCATTTCTCCACCCCAGGATCTCCAGTGGTTCCTCATTTCATTTGGAATAAAAGCCAAAGTACTTACGGTGGCCCACAGGCTCATACTTGCCTCCCAACCTCCTCCTCACTCCTTCCTCCAGTGGCCTCCTTGCTGATCCTGGAACACAGTAGGTACATACCTGCCTCATGGGCTTGGCTGTGACTGTCGCCCCTCCGGGCACTCTTTCCCCACACACTGGCATGTTTTCCTTTCTCATCTTTAGATCTTTGCTCAAACACCAGTTTATCAGTGAGGTCGTCCTTGGCCATTCTATTTCAGTTTGCACCCATGCAATACTCTTGCAAAATACTTTTTCTTTGCATGGGGTGGGGGTGAGGTGTGCCAGGGATTGAACCCCAGGGTGCTTAACCACTGAGCCACATCCCCAACCCTTTTTATATTTTATTTTGAGCAGGGCTTTGCTAAGTTGCTCAGGGCCTCCCTAAGTTGCTCAGGCTGGCTTTGAACTTGGGAATCTTCCTGCCTCAGCTTCCTGAGCCGCTGGGATTATAGGTGCGCACCACTGCGCTGTGCCCAGCAGTATAATATACCTCTTATTCCCTTTTTCTGCTTCATTTTTCTTCAAAGCATTTACCATCATCTTGCATGTCATATATATTATTAGCTCATCTTTTTATTGCCTCTCCTTTGTTTAAAAAAATGTTTTTTAGTTGTAGATGGACACAATACCTTTATTCAGATATCTTTATGTGGTGCTGAGGATCAAACCCAATGCTTCACCAGTGCTAGGCGAGTGCTCTACCACTGAGCCACAAACCCAGCCCTGCCTCTCTCCTTTGACTAGAATTCCAGCTCCAAGAGGATAGAAATTGTTGTCTATTTTGACACTCTTGTATCCCTAGGGCCTAGAACAGTGCCTGGCACCTAGCTGGCACTTAATAAATATCTGGTGTCTGTATGAATTCATGGAGATTTTCACAAGCTTGCTGTGTGATCTTGGGCAGCTAAACTTATGTCTCTGGGCTTCAGTTTGTCAGGTTTAGTGGACTTCCAGTTTGGCCAGTTTTTAATAGTTCTGTCCCTGCATCCTGGTTCTTGAGATTTCTCTTCTCAAAATATCCACTAAAAGGAGAGATGGCCACGGCCTGGCTTGATATTTGTCACCCAGACTGGACTAGACTTCTCTGGGCAAAGTGTTCCAGCTTGTGAGTGGACATGTGCCAGTGAGCCTTGACTGCTTTAGGAGCCTTAGAACTAATGCATTAGAGTGAATGGACTTTTGCATGTGTTTGGGGACCTGGCTGAGATGGGGCATTCCAGCAAAATGTCAGCACAGGTCTACATTCTTTCTGCTTCTCTGTTTTCAGTGAAGCAAAATGTAGAAATTTTCCAAGGCACAGTGTACCAATGGAAACACCCACCGCTCTGGAAGCACAAGGGAAGAACCTGTGTGTTGTGAATTCCCATACCTGTAACAGTCTCTACTTCCCCAGGAGCCAGTGGTGAGAAACTCACACCACTGTGTGAGAAATGCCCACCTTCCATGGAGGGAAGCCTGTAATATGCCAGACCCATGTTGATAGATTTCATCTGTTCTTACTGGGCAATGGGTCCAACATTGCCCAGGTTTCTAGAACCATCTCTGACAGGGCTCTGGAGTTTATTAGCGTGTTCACACCCTATCTCAGCTCCTTACAAGATCTCTTCTGTTTTGGCATACCCCTGGGCCTGCAACAGTACACAGTACCTGGTGTCTGGTAGGCATCACTACCTTTGTGTTGGAAGAGTGAATCTTCGTCAATGATGGAAGGCAGGCAATATGATCTTCATTTTACAGATGATGAAACCCATGCTCCGTGGGGACATGACTTGCCCAAGGTCACAGAGACACATGAATCCAGGCAGGCAGCTGGCCCAGGATTACTAGGAAAGTTAACTTCCTCCCACTTGGCTTTCACATTTTGAGAATTTTTTTTTTTAAAAAAAATTCAAAAGCAGGGAGAGAGCTTAGACATTTGGAAGCCAGAGATGTTGAGTCATATCCCAGCACTCTCATTATCTTTGGATAAATTCTAAAAACCACAGAGCCTCTGTTTCCCCATCTGTAAAACCGCGACACACTCCTCTCTCCTATACCAAGTCACTGGGAGTACTGTATTCAGCTGGACAATGCAGTTCAATGGCTGCCACTGGGCGGTGCTCCATACACTCCAACCCCATTCTGACCTTCCAGGCAGTGCAGGAGCCCTGCTCTCAATCAACGCTTCACCTCCTCGGGCGCTCAAAATGGCCAGATTGAAACGCACAGCCCAGAAGCAACATCCCTAGCTGGAGAAGCGCTCTAACAGAGTAGTCCTGCGCATGCGCACTCGCCGCAAGTCCCGTGGCGGGGTACTTGCTCAAGTCCGCGGGTGCGAAGCCTGGGGAGCGTCCTCCCCTGGTACCGAGCTCGCCTGCGATTCTTAGGACCGCTATGCTCTCCCGTAAATTAAAACTCTCCATCCTGGAGGACCTGGTGTAGCTTGATGGGGAGAGGGAAGCAGCGAAGAGCTGCTAGAAGCTCAAGGGAGGGTTTTTTAGACCTTGCCATGTCCGAGGGGGAGGCATTGCCAGCTGCGTGGGACGTGGACACCGTCAGGCAGAACCGTCCCAAGGGCAGCCCTCCTCTTTTGTTCAGTCAGTCAATAAATGAGCGTTCAGGGACACTGGATCACTGAGCCACATCCGCAGCCCTATTTAGTATTTTGTATTTTATTTGTATTCAGGGCTTCAGTGACAGGGGGCCATCTGGGGAGAGATACATTCCCCTAGGAAATGTAAACTGAGTAGAAATGAGTCCGAGTCAATCTGGAGAAGACGAGAAGAACCTGCAGACCCCAGGGCACGTTGGAACATGGAGGTTCTCAAGTGGGGAACAGCCTGGATGGTGCAGAGAAGGGACGGTGGAAGGAACAGGGCCGTGTGAAGGATTTTGGACTTGATCCCAAGAGCAGTGGGAAGTCATCGAAGCCAGGGAATAATGTAATCTTTACAGTTCTACACCGAAGAATATTTTTGCTTTGCTTTCACATTCGCAAAAAAAAAAAAAAAAAAAGGATTTTGAATTCCACACCTACCATACTGATTTTTTTTTTCAGAAATAAGAGAATGATGGAATATGTGTTTATTTTCAGGGTTAAATGTGCTAACAGATGCAAATTGCCTAGCATTTTATATGTGGTCTATAAATGGTAATTTCCTTATCTTTCCTCTAAATTTCATTCCACAATTTCTGCTATTTCGGGAACACTGAAGGAGACCGATCCTCCCCACAGACTAAAGATAAATTACATTTGAAGGACATTGGATAGATGTGCTTCAAAATTTGATTGGTTCAAAAGATCAAATTTATTATGCAAGGGCTGGGGTTGTGGCTCAGTGGCAGACTGCTTGCCTAGCATGTGTGAGGCACTGGGTTCGATTCTCAGCACCACATATCAATCAATAAAATAAAGGTCCATTGACAACTAAAAATTTTTTAAAAATTTATTATCCAAATAGTAAGCTCTTCATGATCATACAACATATTAATTGATTTATGGAAATGCAATTTGCATTTCACTTTTTGGATGCATATTTATTGCATAAATATTGCATAAATAAGACCCCTTTCCACAAAGTTGGGTTCACGTCTCTGTTGTTCCCCATTGTTAGGTCACCACCTTGCTGGCCACAATAGTAGACTTTCAAATAGTTGTTGGGTTGATTTAAATACTGGAAGATATTTTCTGCTAAATTTCAAGTCAGGGGAATCAGTTCTGGAGTTTTTTCTTTATAGTTGTTAACATGGATTTTGATGGCATGAGAAAGCTTGTTCTCTGAATTATATTTAGCTCATACAAACTCTACTGCACAATTATGTTGTAAAGAGGAATTAGGTTTTAAGTTGTTATTATAGCTTTGGGAAGAGGTGAACATGCAGAATAACTACATAAAGTGGTAGCATATTGTATTATTAATTTTGTTCCTTTTTTTTTTTTTACCATGGTGTAGGGCCTACAACAGACTGATACGTGTGGTAGGTGTTTCAGGCAGGGTCTCTATAAGAAACAGATGGCACACTCAAAGTAGATAATTAGAGGAGGATTTAATAAAGAGACTATCTGCAAGGTTTGGGCAGGGCACAGGGAAACCATAAGGTTATGTGTAGTACCCAGGGGACTAGTAATAGCCTTTACCACTCCTAGATCTGAAGGTTGAGGGGAGGGAGAGATTTATAGAATCCATTAAAAGAGGGTTGTGTGGGAAGGACAACCTTGAGAAGAAGGGGTGATCTTTTATCAAAAGACACAACCAACCTAAGATGATCTGGCAGGGAGGGAGCTGGGGGAAGAGTTACATCAACCTTATCCTCCGTTTTTTTTTGGGGGGGTAGGGAGTACTGGGGCTTGAACTCAGGGGCATTGGATCACTGAGCCACATCCCCAGCCCCATTTTGTATTTTATTTAGAGACAGGGTCTCACTGAGTTGTTCAGCGCCTCACTTTTGCTGAGGCTGGCTTTGAACTCGAGATTTTCCTGCATCAGCCTCCCGAGCCACTGGGATGATAGGTGTGTGCCATCATGCCCAGCTAACCTCATATAACCTCATATTCCTTGTGTCTCTCAGTTTCCTGTTGCTGTCTCCCTTTGGCTATACCCAACAAAGCTAGAGGGCAGTGCAGCAAGTTAGTGTCATTCATATAGGTCAGCACCTCAGGGCAAAGGGCAGGACACAGAAGGTTACACAAGTAGGTCTGGAGGAGCAAATGGAAAATATCCAGTGTAGCAGGTTTCATTTACATGTTGAAAAAAGAGTTGATATTTCAATCTTGGTATTTTAGCAAGGCAGGGAAACCTGGGGGGGGGGATAGGACCATGGCAGCAAGTTTGGGGTTTTCATTGGTTCGTTTCTACTGCATATACTACACAAAGCATTTCTGAGAAGCCCAGCCATGACAGAGGGGTCCCAGAAAAGCATCTCATTCTCCTTCCTGCATGTATTTTTAAGAACGCATCCCCAGTCTATCAAAGCACTTGTTTAGAGCTCTGAATAGTAAATATGTCCCCACTGGTCTCAAAATTAGATGCGCTTCCCTGGAAGCAAGAGAGTAGAGGCAAAGCACACGGGTTCTGGATCTTCTGGTTAGCAACTGCCAGCTATGTTCCCTGCCTTGTTGGTGCCCTTTAGGTAGCAGCTGCATGGTCATTTTTTTTTTTTTTTCAAGCAGGAAGACCAGAATAGGATTCGTCCCTGCGACTCTGGAAATTGCACCTGCTCTTATGAATGGAGTGGATTCTGGTCTGTGGCGTTGTGAGTCTGGGAAATCATTCCCCTGTTTAATGAGGTCCTTCAGAAAAGGAGGGAACGGGTCTCTTTCAGTGACATGACTTTGACAAGCAAATCAATTCGTTCCATTTGTTTCCTCTTTGAAAACAGCAATCCTCGAGCGTTACATAATCTAATCTTCATGCCTCGCTGGTTTGTTCTGTCCTCCTGAGGAATTGGCAGATGGTGCCAATGCGGAGACCCGCGCACACGCCTCGCAAGCCTCATGGTAACGGGAGCGTTGCTCACAGTGTCTGTCTCTCTGCTGTGGGGTCCCTCGCTGGCATTTGATTCTCTGGATCAGTTTGCTCTTTAGCATTCCTCGGGCACTGCTGGCTTCTTGCCTTGGGCTCTCATTCCAAGATTAATTGGAAAGGCTGAAAGCAGATAAAAAGAGAACAGAGAGTGAAGTTGAAAGGGCAGAGAATTGGTGGGATTTTTGTTTGAAAACCCTCCTCCGTTTAAAGCTGAGTGTCTCTGGAGATCATAGTGCAGACTCTGACTTCTTCATTCAGCTTGGCCCTTGTGTACATCCTTGTTGCTGGGTTACACATAAGTACAGGGACAGGACTGGCTGTGTCAGAGACAGGAAAGAAGAGATCTGCTTGATGAGGACTTGGACTCCTGTCTCTAAAAGTGAGTCACATACCTGCAGAATCGATTGTTCCCCAGATAGGCAGCTGCCTGGAATCCACCTTTACGTCAGTGATGTCACCTTCACTAAGGGAAGATTATGTCAGGACTGTAACGTGAGGAGCCTCCGTCAGACAGAACTCCAATATTTAGGTGTCTTTGCAAAGTCACTGCCTCTACATCTCATTAAAAAATAAATGAATAAATAAATAATGCCTGCAAATGGCAGTTTTCTTTTACCTTTTCTCTTTCTTTTTTTAGTACAGAGGATTGAAGTCAGGGTCATTCTACCACTGAGCTACATCCCCAGCCCTTTTTATTTTTATTTTTAAAATTTTAAGTCAGGGTCTTGCTAAGTTGCTGAGGCTGGCCTTGAATCTGGGATCCTCCTACTTCAGCCTCCCAAGTTGCAAAGATTACACGCATGCACTCAAGTGGCAGCCTTGGGGGAAGCCAAGGCATCCTGGACATTTTGTGATTGGTCTAATCCTAACAATTCTGAGGCCCAGAAGTCAGCTGACATGCTCTGCATTACCTTTGAGTTGTTAAAACACTGAAATACTTCCATACTCATTGATAAATATATGAGCTTCCAACTGCCTTCCAATCTATTTTTTTTTTTAAATACCTGGGATTGAATCTAGGGGTCTTAACCACTGAGCCATATTCCCAGTCCTTTTATATTCTTATTGTGAGCCAGGGTCTTGCTAAGTTGCTTAGGGCCTCACCAAGTTGATGAGGCTGGCTTTGAACTCACCATCTTACAGGCACGCGCCACTACACACGGCTCCTCAGCTAATTTTTAAGTGTTGACAGAATCTTATTTTAGGTGATTTCGTGAGTGGCTCTACCTTTCTGTGCAGCAGCCTGAGAGCTTCCTTTGCTGAATGTATTTTGTTTCTAGTCATGCAGTACCAGTAGGTCTGCTTGGTGCAGGGCCAGGCACGTTTCCAAGTGCCACAGATGTAACCGCCCTGCTCACAGACTGCACTGTCGGCTGACTCTGATTTTGGATGGAATCTCCAGGCAATTAAAACACAGAACCCTCCTGCCTGTGGCAAAAACATGGCTGGTCCTTAAAGGTCACCTACACCTTTCTGCTTGCTGGTCACTCAGGGCCTAGGTTATACAGCAGAAATGACCTAGGCCCTGAGTTCTAAAGGAGAAAAACAACCCATATTGAATATCCTTTGAATTTCTACCTCTAAAGTGAGTCCACACAGGGGACTAATTTCTATAAAAACAATAATGTTTTGCTTCTTTTCATTTGCTATCCTTTTGCTAAATGTTAGATGAGCACCTATTATGGTATTAGTGTTCACCACTGGGCTGGGTGTAGGATATCCAGTAGTGAATAAAACAGACCTTATCTCTGCTTTCATGGAACGTACAGTCTAGAGGGAGAAACAGATAGTAAAGGAGGCCACTGTGGAGTGATGTTAGGTCATCTGAACTGGGTTGAATTTCATCTAATGGAAACTATAAATGTAATGGTTGACTTTTGCTGTTTTGCACAGTTATTATATATGTCTCATTGCTAGAGTCCTGGGGTATATGGCATCAGTATTAAAAAGCCAGACAGTGGGGGGGGGGGGTCATTTCCTGCCAAGATTCCAGAGAGGCTGAGAACTGCTCTGTATTAGGGAAAGGAAAGGGGGAATGTTCTGAATGAGAAATGGTGGTGTTGGTATGTTTTAGTAGCTGGAGATCAGGTGTGCTGTTTTGTTTTTGTTTTGTTTCTTGATGATGCTAGAGATTGAACCCAGGACCTTGTGCATACTAGACAAGTGCTCTACCACTAAGCTCTGTGCTGGTGCAGATGTGATGTTTTTTTGTTTATTTGGTTTTTGGATCAGGGATTGAATCCAGGGGCTCTCAACCACTGAACCACATCCCAGGCCCTTTTTTTTTTTTTAATTTTTTTGCAGTTGTAAATGGGCAGAATACCTTTATTTGTTTATTTTTATGTGGTGCTAAGGATCAAACCAGTGCCTCCCACACGCTAGGCAAGCGCTCTGACACTGAGCTACAGCCCTAACCCTCCCAAGCCCTTTTTTATTTTTTATTTTGAGACAAGGTCTCGCTAAGTTGCTTAGGGCCTCACTATGTTGCTGAGGCTGGCCTTGAACTTGTGATCCTCCTGCCTCAGCCTCCCAGGCTGCTGGTATCATTGGTGTGGGCCATTACATCCAGCAAAGTGTGCTGAAGATACAATTTCTGGGCTGTGGTTGTAGCTCAGTGGTAGATCATTTGCCTAGCACGTGTGAGGCACTGGGTTCGATCCTCAGCACCACCTAAAAATAAATAAATAAAATGAAGGTATTGTGTCCATCTATGACTAAATATATATATATATATATATATTAAAAAAAAGAAGATATAACTTCTGACCAATCAGTCGTCTGTAGGGAGTAGAATTTCCCTCATCTATGCTTTTTCTCTCCTTCACCCTTGTAACCAAGTGAGTTCTGTAGCCACTGTTTTGAAAATCATTAATCATGTCCCTAGGACAGTCTAGTAGTTGGTCGTACTTGTCGGTATTAATTATTTTTGATCCATCTGTCTTGCTTGTTTTTCTTTTTATTATTATTTATACACAGCGAGATATACAGTCTTAAGAGTGCCATTCAATTTTGACCCATGCATGTTTTATAACCTCATGTCTTTTTATTTTATTTGAAAATTTTTGGAATCCTCTTAAGTGATGAACATGTAGGTCCAAAGGCAGATTTTTGGAGAGGAATCTTCTATTTAGTATGCTGACTGTCCTCTCACCCCCCAAAAGAAAATTCTCCTTCAATCCTTTCCTGTATTCTCCAATCACCACAGAGGACATAAAACCATAAGAACATTTTGTAATCCTCGCTTTCTGAAACCTAACAGAGAGATTTTGTCATCTGAAAACAAGGGAGGATTAACTGCAGATTTTTGATTCTGACAACGGCAGAAAGGAATGAGTTAGACAAGGGACGTCACAGAGAATTAATTCAAGTTCCAAGTGTGACTGCTCCATAACCTTTTCCAAGACTCTGCACATGACATAAAGTCTCAGGAAGGAAGAGTTTTTAAAGGAGTTTGCTACAGGGACATGGCATTATCGGAAATGTTAAATGAGAGATCCACGCACCTATTAGGAATGTGGCCCCCAACCCTGGCTTACTCCTGAACGGATTCTCCCTAAAAATGAGACATAAAGACAACTATATGCAGCCCTTGCTAGACTGATGCTGTGGTCCCATCTTGATTTAATTGCCCTTGCATTCTGCGAAGATGTCTTTTCCGTGCTCCAGAATAACTCCCCTTTGGCATAATTTTCACCTGACTGTTAAACAAATAGTATAACAACATGCAATTAGTTAATAATTACAATTTGTGTATCACCTAAAGGCGAGTGTGAGGCTTCATGTGAAAGTGCTTCTGAAGCTAGCGAGGTATGTACAATCCAGAAGGATTATTTTAAAATTATTTCTATACGGCAGGATACTTTGTAGGAATAACGGTGCCATTATATCTCACCGTCAGTGAGGCAAGCTATTTTCATTTTCCGTATCCGAGATTTTCCAGATGTCTTAATGATGATATTTCTGAAATATTTCCTGAATCTGACCCAGCTTCTACATTTAGCCCTCATTACCTCCCCTCCAGACTTAAAAGTCCTTGAAGGCATGATATTCACTTATTTATTACTCTATTCCAAAATCTAGCACATGATGGGTATTAATTGCTCTTAATTGAATAAACCTACTTGGCCTTGCTTTCAGTGTCCTTCTAATCTGCCCCCAAATGCATCAGCATTATCTTCAAAACCAGATCTAAGATGGGTGCTATGGTGCATGCCTATATCTCAGTGATTCAGGAGGCTGAGGCAGGAGGATCACAAGGTCAAAGTCAGCCTCTGTCTCAAAAAAAAAAAAAAATTAGGGCTGAGGCAAGGGTTCGATTCTCAGCACCACATGTAAATTAATAAATAAATAAAGGTCCATCAACAACTGAAAAATAATTTTTAAAAAATCAAAATTAAAAAGGATTGGACATAGCTCAGTGGCAGAGCACCCCTGGGTTCCATGCCAGTACCACAAAAACAAACACACACAGTCCTGCCTGCATTTCTTGTGCTACAGACCTTCAAGGATTCTCCATTGCCTGTAGAATAAAGTGCAAACTCTGAATGGCATATTCCAGATCCTTCTCAGTCTAGTTCCTAAGCACTTTTCCAGGCCCATCTCCTGGCCCTTAATCTCCCTCCTCCCTTCAACAATGATCCCCAAGCACACCAGGCAGGTTCACAATCCCAAGCCTTTGCTTAGGCTGTTCCCTCTGCTTGGAAGGACCTTCCTCTGACCCTCCTTATTCATCTGATAGAATCCACTTCTCCTTCAGAAAGCAGCTCAAATGTCACTTCCTTTGCTGCCTTCTCTAACTCCCTGAAGGTTCTATTTTGTGCTCTCCTATAAGGTAACCTGCTCTCCTATAACCTAACACCCTTACCGTGTGTTTTCCTGTCTTATTAGAGTTGGTTTTTTTCCTCTTCCTTTTTCTCTCTTTACAATTCCTTTTGCAGGTGCCATAGTAGTTAACCCATACCTTGGGTTCAATACCTGACTGGCTCTGAGGTTCCATGCTTGCCGTCCAACAAATGACCTCTGCAAAGCAGCCAATGAGGTTTTAATAACATACACAACCATGTGCCACTCCTCTATACAAACCCACTGGTGGCTTGCTATCCTGTCGGAAAGAAATCCAGAGCCCTTGTGTATCTGGCCCCGGCCTTCCTTTTCAGCTCCTTCTCTCCCACCTCCTTGCTCACTCCAACCCTCCTTGCAGCTCCTTGAAAATACCAAGCTGTTTCCTCCTCAGGACATTTGAATGTCTTCCCTCTGCCAGGAAAGCTCTTCCCCCAGCTGTATAGACATGACTTGCTTCTTCACTTCGTTTTAGTTTCTGCTCAAATGATCTCTCTACAGAGACCTTCCTTCCTTAGACAAGGTCTAAACTAGCACTGTCTGGGCTGTGGGTGTGGCTCAGTGGTAGAGTGCTTGTCCAGCATGTGGGAGGGGATTCCTGGCACCATTAAATAAATAAAAAACCTCCGGCAGTCCATTTAAGCTCAGTGTTGTTGGTCTGTTTTTTATAGTACTAGGGATGGATCACAGGGGCATTTTACCACTCAGCTACATTCCTAGACCTTTTTATTTTATTTTGACAGGGTCTTGCTAAATTGATGAGGCTGGCCTAGAACTTGTGATTCTACAGCTGCCTCATTCTCCCAAGTTGCTGGG